CTCAGGAGGGCCCACTGCCTCCTGGGATGCTGGAGGACTTTCACTTGGACAGAAAAACTGTGGAGTGGTCACAAATTAATAGAACAGGAGCAAATTTAGGTGGATTAGAGATAATCCTGCCCCGGAGTGGCACATTAGCTGAATAACGAGTGCTGTGAGCCACTTAAAAGGTGCTAAACAGTCCAGGGGTTAAGAGCTCCAGAAGCCACCTGAAGTTAGCATGCAACAAAGCCCTCAGTTTCAGCTTGGTTTCAGATTCTACACATCAAGCACCCTCCCTCTACCTATTAGTCATGGATTTTGAAGCAGAATGAATCTCAATCTTAGCTCAGTTCCACATTTTGCAAACAGACGTACAACCCTTCCTCAACCTACCTATTAGGCAAGTAAAATGACTGTGGTAATTAGTGTGCGATTTTATTCCACCCTAATCACATCCCTGAAAAACCATTATTACAAAAAGGTGAGTCTTCTCCTGTTTTTTTGAGACTTAGCTCTAAGATCAAGATGACAGCATGTTCCAATAACTAATACATGAATGGATTTTCAGGGACTCAAGGGGAAACAGCATCACACCTACGTACTTAATGTCCATTAACATGTCTCAAAAGATCTGGCCCTAGGTCAATGAAGATTTAGATGGTTTGGAATAATTTTAAATCATGAACATAAATGGAAGAGTGCTGAGGTGATAAAAAGGATTTTTGTTGGTGCCTCGTTTGTTTTAAGATGTACAGTGATTTTATGACCGGCAGTGAACTGACAGAGCATTCACTAAGACTATTCCCCCAAACTGCTGTCCACAGCTATTCTGTAGAATTGTCTCTTTAGAGCCGGGCATCCCAAGTCCTTCTCTTTAAAGCCATCTTTCAATTGGTCATACAATCATTAGTCTTTTAGCATATTATTTAAAAATAGGGGAAACAATGATTATTTCACATTGGAGCAATATACATTTCAATATTTCAGTAAAACTAGACAGAAATTATACTATATATATATATTCTATATATACACAATTCCTCTTGAACAACAGCTCGTATCCCTTCTGGATATTCAGACTAAGTCACATATATTTTTGTCCCAATTGTTACTATGGTTTTATACTTTTATTCAACAATATTTTGCAGCTGCAAATTGTGTAAAATACTGAAGAACAGATCTTCCATTTGTGTATATTAAGTAGGTTCACTAAGACAGAGAGGGACCAATAGACGAACACGTACTGAGATTCTGGTCTGAAGTCTTGAGGCTCTGACAGATCTTATGATTTTAAAATGGTGCCTGCTCAACAGTCTTATTTGTAATCATATTGGTGAATTATATGTTCAGTCAGAAACAAAATGAAACAAAAACATCCGCCATTTAGAAAGTTATGTTAAAAAAACACACACGTGCAGTCAACATCAGAAAAAACTCATTTCTTAGATGGTACACATTATTCAGTTTAGGTACATCCTTTTGCCCGAAACAAAGTTTTACAACATACCACTAGAATGTGAAAACTAGGCATCTAAACCAAACAGTTACTTGGTCCAACTGTTTATTTTCAGATAATGTGGGAAAAGTCTTGCTCATTCCAAAGCCGCAAGAATCACAGCCTTCAGAACTGACATAGCTGAGCCACAAGAGAGCACTATTAAGTAACAAGAGTCATGGGTAAGTCCAGATTAAATTTTCACTTTTCATTAAGAATCAGAATGCAACATCTATATTTAAACAACTTTATTAACATAGTCAAGCAGTGATTATAACATTCACATCTATTATGTCACATCATACAAATGTAAATACAAAATTACTACAGTACAATATATATTCTCTGCATGATCCAAAATATTTGGTGGCCCCAAAAACTCTTTAAAATTCAGCAGCTTATCAAAAATTAAAACCATATTCTATTTAAAATGAAGTTTTGTTAGCACAGAGGCAGACTTCAAGAAATATCACTCAATTTAGTACAGCTTGAGAGGTTGCAGGAGGATACGTTTGAAGGAAACATTCTAACATTGTGGCAGGTAAAGGAAACATTGGATTTAAAGCTTTTAAGCAAAACTCATACAACCTAAGTTGTCAGCAGAAAGGTCCAGTCATTTTATTCTGAACTACTTTAAATTTTAGAAACTGCTTAATAATAAATTAGGTCATTTACAACATGACAGGCCCCTCCCCCTCTCCCCTTTCTTTCTGAGGGATAACATACTATTACTGACAGTTTTCATAATCAGATAAAGCTTTGTAATAATGGCTGCCCAATCACTGGTACCACAAGTCACACAGGCTTTCTTAGTTTTGCAGTTCACCCACAGTAGATATGCATCTAAGGTGAAAAATAGTTTAACAGAACTGACTTGCAGAAAAAATAGTGTACTACAATGTAAGCTATAGTAGTATAGTGTATATAGTACTATAGTGTACTATAATGAAACTACTTTACATGAAGATTTTTGTTTAAACATTTGTTCTAATAAATCATACAATTCACTTTTAACAGCCATTATTACCTTCATGTAAATACATTCAGATTTACAAGCATCTTCATTATTTTAGCACAATCTACTCTGGAAGGCAAGCTGCAACAATTGACCATATTACAATTTTCATACAGGATAATCTAAAATTGATTTGCTCCATCAATTAAGTGCAAAAAACAAAAACTGGCTGTAGCCAAAAAAAAAAAAGAGAAGAAAATGATATTTAGAGCCTGGTAGATGCATCTTACCAGGTCTGTCTGCAGCCTTTAACTAGTGTACCTAATGGTGAATAGTTTGATATTGCCAATAACTCATATTTAATGAGCATGTAAAATTACAGTGTCTAACATTACTGCATGGCTTTTTAAAGATCACAGCAGCAGTTTTGCTAAAGAAATGAACCTTGCTTCACCTAAGATTACAATAAAAAACATTAGATAATCTAGATCTTATGTAGTATTTAAAAAAAAATCTATCAGCCTACATGACAAAAATAGCTGTGAGAGCAACCAATGCTGGTTCTTTATAACTGGTTCTTTATAATATTTGAAAATATTTCCTATGCAATACTGCATATGAGTACTATCTATAAAGTGTTTTAGTTGCTGTTACACATGGATGCATTCTCCTCTAAGGAAGAATGTTTCTGCACCTTTACCTGTTAATATATTCAATATGAATAAATAGGTGATTTAAGTGAAGCTAAACCATTGTTGTCCCACAGTAGGTGGTTAATTTAAATTAAGAATAAGACAAAACTGTCTAATATGAAGCACAGAAGCTGATTTAATTAAGACATTTTGTAAGCACGTATTCTGAACAAAAGGGTACAAGAGCATTCACCTGAGATAAAGCTAGTACATTAATATTTCATATCTAAGTAGCAATGAATTTTGCTTGAGGAAAGCCATTTTAAAATATACATTTGATTATATTATACAGTATATGCAATTTAAGTCATTAAAATCAATGCTAAAGTAAAAGTCTTAACAAAAGTCACAGTGAATATCAACAGTTTATTATAAAAATTTATGCTACTTCATAACTTTAAAAATCATAATGGCTATAGATTTTAAACCCATTCTTTTAAAAGTGATCTATTGAGTACAACCTCTTCATTGCAATAAGTCAATGGATAAGAACTAGCTTATTACAATTTTAATATCTACATACCTGTTCAGAAAATAATCAAGCTCCAGAAAATTTACAAAACTGATATTTTTGCTTACATTGGCTAAAATCATGAAATGGTCTAAAATTTTATTTTAATGAAAAGACTCATTTCCTGAATGCGTAATGAAAGACTGTAGTATTGAACTCCACATCAATATTCAATTTAACTGCAATTTAGAACTGCCAAAAAGAGATTTTAAATACACTTTCTGTTACCAACTTAGGTTGATCAGTAGCTTTTGTTCACTGTTAGAATCCTTCAAAAAGGGAAACAAACAGGAGAAAGAAGGCATATATAAAAACAGTAAACACTGACCTCCTGAGGTTCCTACAACAAAAATATTCAAGTAGAAAATCTACATCATCACTTAGCAGCGGCTATTTCTGTAGTTCAGCACACTAACAGCACTTTATTCAGTGTGTAAGGAGCAAATGAAGTAAGCCGTGCTCTTTTAGCATGCCAAGAGGCAGAAACACTGGAATGTAACAAAGACACAATTCTACCAGTATAAACATTCAGTCAACATTCAAAAACTGTCAAGACTACACCACAAGAATTAAGATAATTTTTATATATCCCATGATGCAATAAATTGAATTACAACTGTTAATGATGAATCAGAACTTTCCTTACCTCATGTTATAACCTAAATGGCTTCTGCAAATCTCTGTACTATACTACATGTTAGGAATATGGTATCTTTGTTTTTAAAGATATACCATCGGAGAACCTAGTAAACTAAAAAATATAATTTGATAGTACTGCTTTTTTTTGCATTGGTTTGGTCTTCCTTACTGTTATACCAGATCACTTCACATCTGTACAAATACCTGTTTTTTTAAATATATGCATAAATGTGTAACACATGCTAATCTGACAGGCAATTTTTTCAGCTAGAAGGGTTTGCTGTAATTTATTTAAAACTAAACAATTTCATTCTTAAAACCACTGTGGTATATTTAAGGTAGATCTTCTAGTCTACAAAATGTTAACATCAGAAATTATTCCCTGATGTTTAATTTAAACAGAAATTAAAATAAGTTTTGGTCTAAGGCAAGATTCTACCTTGTTATTTTTAGTAGCATAACTGTTGGATTTGGGTTTTAAATGGGTTCTTTACATGAAAAGAAAAATATGTTTTCAATTTAAATTTAATAATTTGGAGGGAAGTTTTGTAATTTCTAACCAAAAAATTGATTTTAAAAGCAAATAACATGCAGTTTTGATTAAACAAATTCAACTGAGTAATGCTAATACATGATACTTATTCACTTTATTTAGTTTATGCCCAAATACTATTTTTCAAGCATATATATTTCACTCAAGTTTGCGAAGCCAAAAAAAAGGGGAGGGAGGAGGCAGGTCAAGGGGAAATATGTAGAACTTGTGCATGCTACCATGCATTAAAGAAAAACAACAGCAACAAAAAAGCCTCTTCAAACAGCACTTATAAATTTCACACTCACACAGCTCAAACTTCAGTGCAATGGCTAAATCATTCAACACCTTTAAAAGAATAGAATCATGCAAAGGAGAGTAAGTTCTTACAAAAACTGTTATCCAGTATTCATTCTGCAATGCAAAGGTGAGAAAACTAAATCTATAAAAAGGCTGTTATGGCTTAATTTTGTTTTGCAGATTAATTATGCAGCACTTGAAAAATGGAAAGGTGTGGCTTCACCTCTGACCAGCAGAGTTAAAATCTCTCCATTTTCCTTTATCATCATGGGATACTCTTTAGGCAATCTAAATTAATAAAAGACTTGCCACTTTCAGATGGACACAAGATCAAGTGCACCAGTTAGGTTTCACATTCACAGTACATAAGAAAATACACATGGAAGGAAAAGTAAAGGCTTAACTTAACAAGGATTTATTCACAGGAATACATGTAAGTAGAGAAAAAACACAACAGAAAAGCTAAACAAATGAAATGAAGAGGATCCAAACCAACTTTCACTCTGTAGCTTTTAACTTGCACCCTTGTGCATTTAACTACGACACAAAGGGCCACCAACATGCGCCAATACAGTGTAGATACCCTGCATTACATCCATTAACTTAAACATCTCTAAGATCATGCTTTGAACAAAAAAAAGAAAGCATAGAAGGTACTATGTTGAGTGGGAATAAACAAATATAGCAATCATGTCATCAATTTCTACAATTGTCTTTACGTGCCAACTAACATTTATGCAGCCTTTAACAGGTCTTACCATATAACTCATTTTTAGAAGTTCTGATAAAATCACTAGTAGTATATAACCATGCAGAAAGCACATCACACTGACAGCACAGAGGCAAATATTTTGCACAGCTATATCAGCTTTCCACATTGTGCAGGTTACACACAATACAATATCAATCTTATTCTTAACAGATTCTAAAAAGGTATTTCAAGGCCTAATTGTAAACTACAGTAGTTTATATCTATATTCTTAATAAAAATAAAATCCACAGAATCTTTAAAAGGAAATTTAAATGCAGGGCTATATTGAATTGGTAAACTGCAACACAAAACTGGCGCAACATAGGTAAATGTATACCAATCCTCACTCTATGTGATGCAAAACATGCTACTTTCCCACTATTTAAATTACTTCTGATCACTATGAGCCAGAATGCATGCCTGAACCTTAAACTGCACGTTAAGAATAATGTCTTACTCTAGAAATTAAATCTAATGAAGTACAACCATCAAATCATATCCACTACTTTAAAGTTTTTAATGTAAAAATGAAGATGTCAATCTTTCCTTTGAAATGTCCCTCCCCCCACCCAAAAAATGACAGGAGTGACTCATTTGGCATCTTGCAGGTTGCTTCATTTTGTTAAAGTTAACCTTTATTCTTTATTATGGGGTTTTATATTGTACACTGCAAGTGCCTGTTCCTAATACAGGCAGCAAGCTGCATTTTAACTGTACTAACTTCATTTGTGTAGTTCTTCATTAACATGCAAATACCTAGGAATCCCATCAAGCAGGATGAAATAATGTAGAAAAACCTTACTTAAAAGCCATTTACTGTTTTTAACTCCCATTCTTAGGTTTCCTTTATTGTGCGCAAAATAGTTTTCCTCTTTACGTATCCCTATGGTTCAATTATATATGGTTCTTGTTTTGGTACAATTCCCCATATTCCAGAATGTGCTGTTTTGTGAATAGATTCTCTTTTTTGCTTCTTCACATCCAGTGCAGAGTTGTAATAGGAGACAGATTTCCACCCACAAAAGCTCCAGATGTTAAAACATTTCCCAACATCGACTTAATACAGTGACGGCAACACCTCCCTCCCGCCCCTCCCAGTAGGGTTGGGATTGTACTGTATTCCCTACTGGTTTACCCTTCCCCCCAGTAAAGGGTAACATTTTCCCTGGGTGCAGAGGCTCCCTCATAGTCTCCCAGACTGAAGGACCTATAAAGAAAACAAAAAACAAAAACAAACATGGTATAGTTACATGTTTCGAAACAAGATTGTATATATTCAGAAAAAAATTAAAGAATTTTTATGGTAAAAACAACTGCTGTTTTTTTTGTTTTTTTTAAATGTTTCAACTAGATCTGGTGTTCAGATACTCACTGCCTTTCATTATAAGACTGCGGATAAGCTCAAAATATATACCTATCATTATAAATTCAGAAAAAAATAATCAAATGTTTGCCATTAAAAGGCAAACTGCACTAATAATTCCATACAATGTGATGCGTGACCTTAACACAAACAATTTTCATGAGTCTTGATATTTTCAGGATTAAAAAACCCCCTACCCAATATATAACAAATTAATGAGAAATCTATTTTTTGGTTAGGTGGATAAAACAAAATATGTATTAAATTGTCATATTACTTTTAGAGCCTGGCTTGGATTTACAAGTCTGCAAATAAGGAGAAAAATAACTTGTAAACTGATATATTTATTATGGAGGCACTGAGACAAAAACAGAAACTAAAAATGTCATTTTTATAATCACATTTCAAATTTTTAAGTGCTTCAGATCTATTCACTTTTGATATGGTTTTTCAGGAACCCAGCAATGCATTCAGAAATGCACATGAGGAGTTACTAACAGAAGATGCCTTATAGTAACCTGACTCTATAAAGAGTCTTAGATTGGCTTGCAAAATGTCATCTATTTGCCACAGAAAATTATGTAAATCAGTTTTTACCTTGATTCCATTTAAAAAGGTACACTGAAAGAACAGAGTCCATCTGGTTAGTCAGACACTTGGCTGGGATGGTTTTGTCAAGGAGTGGGCTAGACTTGACCTCATAAGGTCCCTTCAAGTGCTACTTTCCTATGATCTCATTTTAGCCTTAAAAGCAGTAAGATCATTTCAAAGGCTGCATGTACAAGCTGAACTGTGCCTCATAACTCGATTACCAAAAACATCCTTTAGAACATACAATGTACACCTCAGACAACAGATGAAGCAGGGCTGCATAGTGAATGTTCCAGGATATACATCAACTCTGGTTATTTTTTTTTTTTTTTGCAGTAGTTATACTGTAAGTTGAGAATGAAACATGTCCCTGATGCAAGTTGAAAAATAGATCTGTGATTAAGGGACCGCACCAGGGACTTGAGAAACTTTCATTCTAATTCCAATTCTGCGACAGGCTCCCTTGTGCAAGTATACAACCTTTATGCATCTATATATGTAAAGTGGTATGCTGCAAGGTTAAATTTATTAACATCTGGTATCGCATTCCTACAGTGAATGAAATCATGCATCAGCATATACATGAGAAGTAATCTTATTCAATGAAGGGATCAGCTAGTGCGCAATGAGAAAAACTCACGAGGCCAGACAGTGCACTGGTCATGCTCTTTATGTGCCTGTCTGGGCAAATGTTCCCACTTTTAATATACAACACACATCCACTTATCAGATGAAAAAAACCAAGCTTCCTTCAAAGTTCAATGTCTTCAATACACTACTTCATGGGGCACATTTCACAGTCTGCTTGTTAAACCTTAAGTTATACATTGTTATATATGCACATGCACTTCCATTTGAATCATTGTATGTTACTTATTCAACAGAAATTGCTGCTTTATGTATACACACATACATGCAGATTTCAACAGGAATACTGGGAAATTGTTTGTTCTGTTTTACACAACAGATCTGTAAAATCCTTAATTCTGTCAAATACAATCCTGTTTTTACCAAGCCAATAAAAGCACAGCATCTCTAGATCAAGTATACCTGTCAAATGTCAAACTTCCATCAGCTTCTACTATTCAAAAAAGGTAAAGGCATTTTCCTCTACTGCCTGCATTACTGAATAGAGATTTGCCTGACACTTGCCTCCTCAGTAAAAGCAAGCACATTAAATTTCAAAAAGATACAAAGGTGAAAAGGCTAAAAGTAACCTTTAGTAAGAGTGACTTTACAACAAGCAATAGCTGTTACTGCAGCTGCCACAGTCAGAGAAACTCTTCTCAAGAAAAAAGTACCAGACTGAATTAGTGTTATACTAATACTACAAATACAAATTAATACTATATAAATATAGCCTATGCAGTGACTAACAAGTAAGTATAGGTAATAATGCTTGTTTAACAATTAGATTTATAAACTACATTTAATTTTTTTAGCTTACCTCTAATTATGGGACTGCAGCTTGAGTGCATGAGGTTAAACTCCATAGTAAGCTGCAAGGCGCTCTTTTAAGGGAAGAGGAAACTGGTCAGAGAAACGCCTCCAATTTTCATCCCCCACTTGATTTTTAAATCCATGAAGGATCTAAAGGTAAAAAATATATATATTACCTCTAACAATGAATCTCAAATCTCAAGCCTGTGAAACACTTTGGATCAACTAATATATTCTGAAGGAAATCACACTAAATTTTCCTATATTTGGGCTAAGAAGTGTTAACCTTGATCTGTTACCCAAATTCCCTAGCTAAAACTTTCATTGCAATGAGAAATAAAGAAATTTAGTATCACTTGAGCAGGGGAAAACGTAGTAAATATTTATTAAATATTTCTAAAATGTATTAATACAAAATATCTTATCAGGTAGAGTCATTTTAGAGCATTCTTATACAACTACATAAATATATGCAGATGGAGAATATCTGAATTTCTATGTATTTGATTTGTATACCTGTATTTGCTTTAAAAAAAGGACAACAAAGAAAACTGGAACTACAACCAAAGCAAGCATTTTACCAACTGTGAATGTCTGGAGCAAGAAGTAAACTATCAACAGAAGTGATTATTCCCCTCTATTCAGCACTAACGAGGCCACATCTGGAGTATTGTGTTCAGTTTCACATCCCTCACCCTTCCTCCATAAATCTGTGGACAAACTGGAGAAGAGTCCAGCAGAGGGCAACAAGAAGGGTTAGGGGGCTGGGGCACATGACTTCTGAGAGGAGGCTGAGGAAACTAGACTTATTGAATCTGGAGAAAAGACGACCGGGGGGGGGGGGGTTT